TGATGCAACTCCCCTTTCCTCTCTACAAGGCGGGGTGTGTGTTAGTGTGTGTATGTGTGTGTGTGTGTTCGAGAGAGAGACATGGAGAGGGGGATGTTGCTGAATGAAGCTTAGCCTGGATGTTTGCCCTGCAGGGTGGGTGGTTGCTAGGCAATGGCAGTGTATTTGTTTTATTTTTAGAGAGAATCACTGCTGGTGAACATAGCTGATTTCTCTTTCCCTCACACACATATGTGAACACACTTTCTTACCATTGTGAACATATTTCCCAATTTATAGCCGTAGTAGCTGCTTGTTAACACTTGTAGAAGAGAAATGTGTTTGTACAATTCCACAGCAGAAAAGCAGGAGAAATGTGAATGGCGTGGCCCACTGCCCCACCCTGGACATGAAATCTAAACCGGCCTGGCATATTTATAGAGCTCCTTTTTCTCACACATAGATGATGACACCGCACACACACACACACACACACACGCGCGCACGCACGTTCTTCTGTAACCAGCTGTAGTCACTCCTTGCATGTACCAGCCTTTTTTGGGCACATGCCTGTCATGCCGTGTGTGTACTCATGTAGCAGGTAACGCACAGCGAGGAATCAATATGTTAAAAGAAAAGAAAGTAGTCCAAGCACTTTTGATTTTTTTATCACTTTTCATTGATCTCTAGGTTCCATGAGCACGATACCAACTTAGCAATACATACTGTATGTAGCTCCAATCTCGCAGTAGTAGCAGACAATAAGGTCATAAATGATTTGTATGATGGCAAAATACGGTGACAGAGATATGGCCTTTCGGTGCGGACACTGCAACTTCCTCCAGGCCGCATAGAGACACGCCGCCCAGCTTTACCGCTTATTTATTGTCTTGAATTTGAGTACTCTCTTCAATAAAAACTGCACTCCTTAAGGTATATTTACTAAACGGTAAAAAAACATTTTGAAACATGCAGGGAGAAAAGCTGTTTAAAAAGTGACGCCGTCTGCCTGGTCCGCCATGCAAGCTATCCAAGAATGCTTTGTGAGTAGCTTGTGGGGCATTGCAGGCTGGAAGTGTCTGAAATTTAGTTTTTAAATTCTATTTTTAATTTTTCCCATATGGTGGGTTTTTTGATCTTAGGCAGGGATTTTCAGAAACTTTATTGTGAGATGTTCTTTTTAGAGCTATGACACAGACTGAAATGAAATCTGCCTGATGCCTCTACATGATCTACAAACGCAAACAAGACGATCAGAAGAAGAATCATTATATCTGTATTCTTGTCATCACTACTGGATTAATGTCAGATAAAGATTTTACAGACGTAGAAACTTAGATAGTTCCACTTAAACAAGTTCAACCAAGTTTTGCTTGTATGCAAAACAAAGTGATCAATTACTATTTGTTATTTTATAACATTTATGTTATTAGGTACCCTAAAAGTACAATTTGGGGGCACGAGTGGCCGAGTGGTTTGTTTGTGCCCCATGCACAGAGACTGTAGCCCTTGCAGCGGACGGCCCGGGTTCAAATCCGACCTGTTAGTCCCCACTCTCTTCCTTCGGTTTCCAACACCATCCACCACTCTCTCGTTCTGTCGCTCTCTTTTTCTCTCCTTCTGCCACATACATCTTCACCCACATCGTACAGCTTCACACTGCAGATTCTCCTGCACAGCTTCTCACTGTTTCTGTCTCCCTGCTCTGTTTATCTTCTGCATCAGTAGCATGTTTACAAGGTCCCCGGAAAGCTCCATTCACATTTTCAACTTTCCAGTCTCAACCCATTAGGTTGTTGTTAATGATGTGTAGCGTGACAAAATGATGGGAACCACAGTGGTACTGAACTGGCATCGGCATCACTAAACAAGCTTTTTAAACAGCGGTTTAAGTAGTCTAACAGGAGAGGTTGCATCTCAATTAATGCATTCACAGGAGGGATAGACTCTCTCGCTCTCGCTCTCGCTCTCGCTCTCGCTCTCGCTCTCGCTCTCTCTCTCTCTCTCTCTCTCTCTCTCTCTGGTTCTTGTCAGAGCATGTGTGTTGACCTTTCTCGCCATAGGTTAACAAGGGTTAGAGAGCAGTTACAGAGTTTGTTGGCGAAGTCACCGTATGCAGATGGTGTCACACCCTCACAGGACCAAAACAAATGTTTCTGTTGGTCTCAAAATATACTTCAGGTCCATCAATAGACCTGGTTAGCTCACTCAAATAAAGTGGCTGTGTGGGAAACAGTGCAGTTTACTAATTGTATTAGTTAGCTTGTGTGCAGATTGAAAGAGGCTCTGTGTGCTCAAACAAGCTTTAAGGCTGCAGTGTAATCCTCCCCTCTGGTTTCTCCTATGCTATCTTTGTCCTGTTGTTGGGATCTCTGGCTCTCACCATCCATGGAGTAATTAAAAGCACTCTGAATTCACAGAATGAACTACTGACACCTAATACTGGTAATTAGATAAGGGATTTTTAATACAAAGAAAGTAATTATTCACGAATGTAATTTGATCTCTTATAGATCTGATTGTAGAAGTCAGTGTTGCTTGAGATATATTTACGTTTTTAACATTGAATGTAATTATTTTGTTTTGTGAACTAAATCGTTGGGCATCAAGGCGTTAAGCTTTAAAGGTCCCATATTATGCTTTTTCTGGTTTTATATGCCCTTGAGTGTGTTTTCCAAGTGTCCTGTGCATGTTTAGGCACATCTGTGTGCAAAAATTCAAAGTCTGCGGAAACGCGGCTTCTCCTACCTCCTCCTGTTAGCTGTAGCATTAGCCGCATGTAACGCTCGGTTCTAGCCCCCCTCGATAAAAATTTGTCAGTGCGGCGTCATTGTCAGTGTGAGATCACTGATCTAGGTTAGTGATGTGTCGCTCATGAATGATTTGTTCAAAACGAACGAATCATCTGGGTGAACGAACTGAACTGAATCACTTACTGAAAAGTGTCGTTCATTTCTCAACTTCATTTGCGCTCTCCCGTCTCTCTCTAGAGTCTAGACCGTAAGAGTCAAAGCCCGCCCTCCCTCTCTCTTTCATGTCAGTGATACGTACTGACTGAACCAACAGGACCATCACTGAACGAACTGAGAGGAAGAGTGGAGCTCTCGTTCACTGAACGAACTGAACGAGAGCTCCACCTCCAAGTCTCTCTCTTCCTCTCAGTCAGACAGTCAGTGAGTGATTTGTGTACTGGACGTACTGAACAGAACGGTCGGGGAAAATAAATGTGATTGTTTTAGCAGCTTTCAGTTTGCAAACTGTAGCTTTATCCAACTAAATTCTCAGCTCATTGGCTTATTATTCACCACCAGCTGTTCTCAGTACGATCGCGAGCAGAACTAAACGTTCGGCCGTATATAGGGCTTATTCAATTCTGATCCGCAGACAGAGCTGCAGAGAAATACTGAACGATTCGGTGAACGAATCTTTTGAACGAATCACTTTACTGAACTGATTCTACTGATTCAGTACACTGAAAAGAACTGCTTTTCACATCACTAATCTAGGTCCAGTGGCATGTTGAAATTTCCAAGAAGCGTGCTGAGCAACTGACCAATAACGACAGAGCGGATTGGCAGACCAATCAGAGCAGACTTGGCCCACGTGGGGTCTAACAGTGTGGGCTCAGCAGAGCGTAACTGATGGACTCAGAGCGTAGAGGGAGCAAGGAGGAGCAGTACATGAAAACAGACACTTTTTTCGGACTTTAGCTATTGTGAACGTACAAAAGTAGGAACATAGATTAAATATACAAACCCCAAAAATGACATAATATGGGCTCTTTAAAAAAAAACCTGCTGGGCTGTCCACGCTCTAGCAGATGACCACTCGTATTGTTTACGATATCTCTAGAACCGTACCACGGTTGGGGACAATTGCTATCGCTAGCTTACCCTTTTGCCATTCTATGGAGTTATAGCCCTTCAAAAAGGTTATAAATCCAGCCTTTAAGTGAAGTGTTTATTCAGAGACTTTGAGACTTCCAACAGTGATAAATCCATGATTATTTGATTATTTATCTCCATTTAGACTCTCGAAGGTAGTGACGGTAATTTTCGGTCAGTCCGTCGACCAATCTGACACTTTCGATTTATTTTTCTCTTGTTTCGGTGGCGTCCAATCAGAAGCAGCCAAAGATCAAAAATAGACAAGATAGTTATTTGCCAGCCTGGAAAAAAAAAAAAAAAATCGTCCACAACAGAAATAATTTCTGTTAAACGGTTGCATACGGCCTCTACACCAGAGCTTTACGCACATAGAGCATTGCATGGATGGTGCCTAGTGGGCATTTTGAGTTTGTTTACATGTTTGTATTTCTTTTTGATCCCGTCATTGTAGCATAAAAGGAGGATTTAGTATTATGTTTAGGGAGGTTTTTTGTTCTCTGTCCTTGCTGGTGAAGGTTAAGGTTGTAACAATACCAGAATTTTAACCTAAATATTAAACAATATCCATAACTGGTTTGGTTACCACAGCAACCAAAGTGTAAGACACCCAATGTTGGGTTATATCTTCTTTTCAATTATCATAAATTGCAACTAAGCTCCTGCACACTATCTGATTTGCACAATTACCTTCATTCCGATGTGTTTTTGCAATCAAGACCGTGTGCAGGAGTTAACATGCAATTTGGATCGACTCATTTCTCTCCTGCACACCTGTCTTATGAACTAGATCGTGGTCGTATGTATCATATTCCCTGTATTTTAGCCTCCTACGGATCGTGTCTTGTACTCACATGCTCTTTGCCGTTGTCAACAAACTGTTGTCATAGAGACAGGACGGACGTGCAATGCTTTTCTTCTCAGCGCACAACCACTTCATGCAAACACTCCCGAGCGCACAGCCGGCACTTTTGTGCCTGGAAAAGACGCTAGGTGGACACGGGGCCTAAGATTGTGTTGTTTCAAAAATACAGTATAGCAATTTTTTTTAAATGTTGACCATTTTGACAACCTTGGAGAAGGTTTTAAGCCTCCATTCTGACATTTTTGTGTTCTGTCTCTTTGTTGAATCTCCAGCTGTAGGCAGCAATGGGTGCGTTCCTGGACAAGCCGAAGACAGAGAAGCATAGTGCCCATGGGGAAGGAAATGCACTGCGTTATGGCCTGAGCTCCATGCAGGGCTGGCGGGTGGAGATGGAGGATGCCCACACAGCTGTGGTGGGACTACCCCATGGACTAACCGACTGGTCCTTCTTTGCTGTCTACGATGGCCATGCAGGCTCCCGGGTGGCCAACTACTGCTCTGGCCACTTGCTGGAACACATCTTAGGGGGAGGAGTTGACTTCAGTTCAGGACCCAGCTCCGTTGAGGGCGTAAAGGACGGCATCCGCTCGGGCTTCCTGAACATTGATGAGTACATGCGCAGCTTCGCGGACCTGCGGCAGGGCCTGGACCGCAGTGGATCAACAGCTGTGTGCGTGTTGCTCAGCCCGACCCATCTCTACTTCATTAACTGCGGCGACTCGAGGTCCGTGCTGAGTCGAGACGGCAAGGTGGGCTTCTCCACGCAGGACCACAAGCCCTGCAACCCCCGCGAAAAGGAGCGCATCCAGAACGCTGGTGGCTCGGTCATGATCCAGAGGGTAAACGGCTCCCTAGCTGTGTCCCGGGCCCTGGGGGACTACGACTACAAATGTGTGGACGGTAAGGGCCCCACGGAGCAGCTGGTGAGCCCTGAGCCTGAGGTGTGTGTGTTGGAGCGGGCGCCTGAAGGAGACGAGTTTGTTGTGCTGGCGTGCGACGGAATCTGGGACGTGATGTCCAACGAAGAGCTGTGTGAGTTTGTCCGCTCACGACTCATGGTGTGTGATGACCTGGAGAAGGTGTGTAACTCAGTGGTGGACACCTGTCTGCATAAGGTAAGTTTCTTCTTTCGTATATGATAAACATTCAAGGTAAAAAAGTGACATACTTTCTTTTTAGCTTGTTGTTGATTTTTTTTTTTTTTACACATAAATAATATGAAGGTACTTTTTTAAACTCCGGTTGGCTTCATCTTTATTCTTGTGGTTTTTGTTTAGACTAGGGCAGTCGAAAAAACATGAATTAATTACAGAAAGAATAATGAGTCAGAAAAATGAATGCTAATTAATTGCACTCTGACTTCATACATCACTGATCAAACCATCCAAAACAGCGGCTTTTGATTATTTTATCATTTTGAAAGATCAAAACCATCAAGGATTGATTGATTAGACTGCCCTATTTCTCTCCTCCTGTGTCTATGAACCTCTACCGAGAAGCACGCACACACACATACTGAGAGGTTCTGAGGTAGGCTAAGTCCAAATACATCTACATTGAATACATCTATTGATTTGCAGTCTTTCCCGTTTAATATGAAAATACTCCTACTAGAAAGTTCCGATGCCGATTAATTTTTATCGTTACGTTATGTCAATGACAAGAAGATACCTACACGGCTGTGGGAAATAGTTTGCGACTAACAAAACGTTGATGAAGAGGGAGAGACAAACTGTAAGAAGGGTGATGTAAGCAGTCTTTGGCAGAAAACAGACATATAGGTGTGTGGGTGGGGGGGTGGGGAACTGAAGGAAAGCAACTTAATCAGATTGAAGTAAATGGTGAATTCAATCTTCATAAGCTAGATATGACCAACTATAAAGAAGGGTATGCAGTAAATCTACCTGTAATGCAATCCTTCTCTATTGTAGATATATGCAATTAATTGCACATAATTCTTTACAAAGCCTGTAAATCATTTGATTATTTCTAATCGACTGACAGACTTATTCATTTATAAAGTGTGTGTGAATTGTTTTTGTCTAACTTCGCTGTCTCTTTTTTCTTTTTAAAAACATTGCGGTCATGACAAGGAAGATATTAATCATTGTTTTGATACGAGTTACTTACTCTACACACATACCCTATACTTTCAGGCACTGCATAACACTCCTCCTCATGCTCAAGTGATACACATTATTTTCAAGTTCTATATATAATGCACTCTGCAAAGCTCCAATTGATTTCTAAACAGTTATTCAATATAATAACCAGGAATATGATCAAGTATGAAACGATGCCATATGTGATACGATACGGTTGGATATATCAATGACATGATTCAACATACTGTAATCGATTGCGTTTCTCATCAGTTCAAAGTTGGGATTTAACAAAAAAGTTATGAGAAACTCAAATTACCATAACAACAGCTACAGAGACATGGTATGATCTGTAATTCTAATGTAATAAAACTGAACATGTCACTGTGAGAGATGAGATCAATCAGATATTGAGTAATGCATCGTTGCGTTCTACTTCCTGTCCCGTCATTGTCCGCTGCTCCGCTCAGCTTATGATCAAAGAAAAAGCAAGAACCACTCTTTGCCTCAGGTGAACCCACCCACCAGTCCTGGTCTTGGACTTTTACCTTCCTTTTACCGCCTGTTTTGTGTCTTGAGTACTTCAAGAACCAGTGAGTGCAAAAGCAGCCTAGTTATTTTTACCTTAGCAGATGGGTTATCTCAAGTGACGGCCACACGCTGTCATAAATCTCCTCTGCTGCCGCTGCCTTTTGTCATATATGTGACACTGTACATGACAGAGTCCTCACAGTGTGGAAAAGTGAACAATCTGATTTTAGTCAATTCCAGCTCTGGACTTTAACGGAGAATGTACAAGACTAATTGGAAAATATTTGTGTTTCCTGACCATTGACCCTCCTGTGTTTTCTTAAACGTAGAGCTCTCAGTTCTAAATATAAATTTGTTCACACTCCTCCACAGAGCTTCTTCTACACCTTTACGTCAGCCGGCTTAGCAGCGGCCCCAATTCTATCTGTACCGAATCAAACCATCTACCGCATTAGCCTGGAAGAAAATAATTTTTACATTGCATGTATACAGTACATAGAATCACAAATAACCATATGTTAAACTTCCAAACTGTAATAGGAGGAAATATAATGTAGTCTGAAAGTACACATAGATACATAATATTAGTAAGAATTTAACTCCAGTTATTTACATAATAAGTGGTCATTTAAATCTTCTGACAAGTCTGGGAAAGTAAAAGGAACCTTGAACTTAAGCAACCAACCCAGAGTAGAGATGCACCGTTGTATCGATTGTATCAATATTGGCCGATTTTGGACCTGTAGACAAACCTTGGCCCATTGTCAAATAATGTGCTATGAACCGTGTTAGTAGCAAAAGTCTGTCTAAACAAACACCTTGTTCGATGACACTGTGAATACCTACGGCTCATTTAAATGTTGTTTTTTTAATGTCATGTTCTGCCTCTCCTCCCGTGAGAAAGGGAAAACATTTTGCCGTTGGGAACATGTGTGAACAAGCAACTCAGGAAGCTTAAGATTTCAGGGCCTTGCTGTCGGGAAATGTTCAACACAAAAAGTTTCATGTATGTGTAAAAACAGCTGTATGATTGTGATCTCTCCCCTGTTTTTAAAGGAATGTAGAAGGCACAGACTGCCGGCTGCTTGTCTTATTTTGTACTGAATGTAAAAGCCTTTTTTTAAAGAGAATAAAAAAAAAGTCTGCTCAGTGATGTTTTGATTCAGCCACTATCAGTTAATCAGTATACCAGCCACATACTTTATGTACGTTATAGATGTTATCATATTTTTTAGCTACTCCTCATGATCCCCCTCATCCCACCAAAAAAACATTTTTTGTTGTTGTTTTGTGTTCAGCAGATTTCATTGCTGTGTTTCAGAATGATAGATGAATGAAAATTGAACCTGTTTGTTCTCTCTCCGTGTCTGTAATCATTCTTGCAGGGGAGCAGGGACAATATGAGCGTGGTGTTGGTGTGTTTACCTGGAGCCCCAAAGATCTCAGAAGAGGCCATGAAGAAAGAGGAGGAATTGGATAAATACCTGGAGACTCGTGTTGAGGGTCAGTAAACACGACACGGCTTCACCTCTGCACTTATAGACATATAACACTGATTCAGTCATGATATTCTGTGGGACACACAGATTCATCTTTACATCAATGAATTGAAATCTCACTGGATGATTTGCTGAATTGTGTCCTATCTATCTGTAGATGCCTCTTTAGAAAATGTTTTTTAAATAATGTTAAACAAGACAAAAGGCCGCTTACAGTGCTCAGTTTCTGTGTACATAATCAGGACAATATAAACATTTTTTAGGTTGTGTAAATATTTAAAAATCAGTCTGCCTCACTGTGGTTCTCTAAATGGTAAACAGTGGATTATCTGATTCTTCCACCACTATAGCTGATACCTCTGCAGAGGAATCTGGAGGTCTTTTACTTCTAAACCTTGGTGTGTTATGTACCATGACCTTGCCTCAGTGTGTAACATGACCTCTCACAAACAATTCATTCTATTTGTGTGTGTGTGTGTGTAGAGCTACTGGGAAACTGTGGGGAGGCGGGAGTCCCTGACCTGGTGTCTGTCCTGAGGAGCATCGCCACAGAGAACATCCCCAACCTTCCACCTGGGGGAGGCCTGGCCAGCAAGTAAATACACGATCAGGAACAACACTACACTACATTTCATAGATGCAACTATCATTGTATAGTTTACATATAAAATAAATGAAACAGAATTCCTTTCAAAGATAGATGATAGATGACTTTAGATACTGCACACACACACAACCAGCAAGGTTATGGAAAGAAAGAAACCGATAGAGTTCTTAAAAACATTATACTAAATATTGAGTAATTTACAAATCATTCTATCCCTGAAACACCATCAAATTGTCAAAAAATCTGGTTAAAAGTTCCCAAAGTCACACTTTCATTTATTTAAAGTGTTTGCCTTGTTCAACCGCTACAGTGAAAAACACAGTACACTGTATGTCTGTTTTAGTTTGCTTGACTAATGACTGAACCAAAACCGTTTCTAAGAATTAGGGCTGTCAAACAATGTTTATTTTTAAATCACGATTAAATAGCTAGTCATGTTTAATCACATTTTTAAATGCATGTTTAAAATTGTATTATTTTGCATTTAAAAATAAAAAATGGTTCGGCTTTTATTTTGAATTTTTGCTCTCTGAGAGAAGCTGAGAAAACTTCACTTGCTGTTTGAATTCAAACCTGCTTTTATTTTGAAATAAAGTACATTCTGGTACATTGAAGATTACACTCTGCTACACATTTCCACAGTTTTTGGATGTTTTATGATGCTTCCACACAAACAAATCATCATAATTGAATAAAAACAGTTGCTACTTTGGTCCAAACGTGCACTTGATATCTTGCGAACGCGCAGATAACACTCCTGAAAACACTTATACGTACACATTCACAGAGAGATAGGGTAGTCTCTTTAATGCATGAAAAGCAGACACTCAGGTATCGACTCAGCTGCTTTCTTGGCTCCATTAAAATGTGAATCAATATACATTTGCAGAGAATGAACTGTTAGTATTAAGCAGGGAGTTGTCCTCTTTTCTAAGCAGCCACCACTCTGTGTGTTTTTGTGTATTTGCAGACGGAGTGTGATTGAGGCCATGTACAACAAGCTGAACCCTCACAGAGAAGAGGAAGGGGTGAGTTGATCACTCTCTGAATACCTCACTTCTTCGACCTTTCACCTCACCTCACCCCTCCTTACCTCTACATGACCTCATACTGACACACCAGCCCAGACAGGGACACTCTTTGGTGTGTATCTGAGAATGAGTGAGTGAAACTTGAAGACGTGAAAGGAGGATAGACTTTGATAGAATAAACTGGACGAGCTGAGAGAAACTCAACTTTGATTATGTGTTCATCACTGAAATATGTAAAACCTCAGTAATGAACTCCTCACTACCAGCAGACAATCAGATTCTACATTTTCTGTAAATAGAGAGTATCGATAAATTAAATTTGTACTTTGGAGGGAGTGAACTTTGCGGCTCGACCAGCCAGATCTCCTCTGCGCATGTTCTGGCTCCTAACAACACCAGCTCAATATGTCACCACCCATGGTGGGGGTATTTTGGCTTCATTTTTGTTCAAGGGGAGAAGGTGGAGACACATTGTCCATATTTACATACAGTCAAACAGAATGAGTCATACCAATTCGGCAGAAGCAGGCAGTGCACAACACAAGCCACACAAAAAAAAAAAATCCATCTTCATAAAAAGAAACTGGTTTAAAATAGAAACTAGACTACGGAGCACCTGAAGTCCCATAAAGTAAAAAACAATATTGTGCACACAAGATATTAACTTGTGCTCACCAAGTACTATGTTGTGCGCACAACGTAATATCTTGCGTGCACTTGTTGGATAATAACTTGTGTGCACAATATTTTTTTTGAATGAAGGTATTGCAAATACGAACATTAAATAAAGTTGATCATTTTAGTTTGTGTCAGAAGAGAAATATAGTTAAGAAGCCTGAAAAATCACTATCTTAATAGCATAAGTATCTTACAAAAAATGCCATCTCCTGTACAATTGGCAGTTTCGAGCCAGAACTTACCCAGTACTTGTTGCCAAGGACTTGTATCTTTGTTGCCGTGGAATCAAAACGGTATCATTATTGTTTGGTGTAAACTAAAACAGTATAGAAGTTGAGCATTGGCCAGGTTGAGCATTATTGTTTTAAATTCATGTTGAGGGTGGATGTGATGGTAGAGGTGTGACTGTATTGTCATATTAATTGTCAGTGGAGTCTAAACCTGCAGGCTTTTTATTTTTCTGGGCTGTGTGGGTGATGGCCCCCCCCTTCCCCCCAAACCGACTCACACACACACACACACACAGCAAATATCACAAAGGGTTGTTGGTCACAGGGTCAGAGGTAGCGTTTGCATGGGCCTCTACGACTAGTGCAAGAATGTCTCTGACATCGTCATGTCAGTGTGTGCAAGATATTTGTGTCACAATGATGTGTGAGCTGTGCTGCTGTTTGTTAGATGTATGTGTGTGTGTGTATATACATATGTGTGTGTGTGTTTGACCGTGGAGCGTGCCTGCAGAGTCTGACCCCTGGCGTGTCACCTCAGGCCTGTGCGGGGGGAGAGGAGGAGGAGAGTGAGGAGGGAGGTGGCAGCACTGCAGCTCATCTGCTGGAGGCTCTGCGGCAGTTCCGCCTGCACCACCGGGGGCAGTACCGCTCGGTGCTGGAGGATTCCCTGGCCGCCTTCCACCTGCCCGGGGAGGAGAGCACTGCCGAGGGAGCCGGGGAGTGCCGGAGGACCTCTGAGGATGAAGACGACAAAGACGGCCAGGAGCAGCCCGCCTCCCCTACCTCTCCCCCCTCGCCCCCACCCTCACCCGCCAATGCAGAGCCGGAAGGCAGCCAAGATGCGCCTGCCCCTGAGTCCAATCCCTCCTCTAAATGAGCATCTCCCAGATCCGGTCAGATGTGCTTTGACCTCTCCTTTTACCTTCATTATAGAACTTGAATGGAAAAAATCTGCCGATCCAGCTGTATTTCACGTCTGCTTTTTCCATTCATATATATATATCACTAATACAGTGGAAATAAAAATGGCCCCTCCTTCCATTCAAATTCTGTCTTGGAGCTTCATACAGTATATCCCTCCCCCCCTAAAAAGGACTCTTTCCTTCTCTTCTCTGTCTGTTCCCGCTGATCACCTTGGCTTGGATTCCCAAACTGCCAATTGCCAGCCACTTTAACAGACTGATGTTTACAACTGAAGATTATAACAAATTACTATAACATGCAGAAGTGGCTGGTGAAGCAGAAATGAACCTTGCACTCCATGGCCAACATTTACAAGTATTGGCTTCTGGCTGACACCCCTCTCCTCCCTTCCCCCCCCCCTTCCCTCGCTATACCCCCTCACCTGCTTTGCAGCAAATGAACTGTCAAGGAAAAGGAGAAAAAGACCCTCTGAACTGCAGCTGTGTTCAACACACTGCTCTGTGTTCAGGCTGACCCTGTCTACAGACTCAGAAAGCACTCTTTTGCGTATATGTGTGCATGTCTGTATGTGTGTGTGTGTATGTGTGTGGGTTCGAGTGACCAAGAAACACACAGATCATCACCACTGAAATGTGTGTTTTTGTAGTGGGTGATTTTTCTGAATGTTAGTCCATTAAACACCATTCTCGACGAAGTTAGGTTCATCAAGGCAGTCAGGGTAGCGCTTAACTGGGCAGTTGACCACAGGGGACACTCTTGCAGGTGGTTTAGTGTGTGTATGCTTTGAGGTTGAGCTTCTTTTTGGATTAAATCATTCCATCAACACATGAACATAATTCCATGTCACAGTATTTGAATATGCTGCCTCAGTTCTGCACAAGAAGGTGGAAATTTGTTTCTGGTTTTTGTTTCTTTCTGGTGAATGTAAATGTGTGAAGAGGGAAAAAACACGTTCACCATTTTTAGATGGAAATAGTTACAACTGTAATTAAAATCGCACTGCAAGAAAAAAATGAACATTGGGGTGAAACATGTTTAGAAACCTTCTCTAGTGGGCAAAGCAGCAATACAAAAGCTTGTGTTGTTTCCAGATTAAAACGATTTGTCCATGGAACAGAAGCTGTCCTTTTTATATCATGCTCTACATCAAATTTGACATGGCTCAACTTTTATGAGCCTTTTTTTTTTTTTTTTTTACATGTCGGTGTTAGCTGTTCTATTAGCAGCTCAAATCACAGCCACCGTTGTCATGGCCTTGATTAAGACCGTCTACTCCACTGGATGGTAGACAGTCCCAGATGTCTTCAAAAAAAAGCTCAGAAGCGGGCCTTCGTGTTGCTCTGTAACAGATGGTTGGAAGTAAACCAGGTTTACATTTGACACAAAAAAAAACAGTTAATCTTAACCCTTGAAGATTTTTCTCTTGTAAAACCAAATAAACCTTTTTGAAAAGCACTTCAGATAAAGTGTTATTCAACTTAATGGTGTGTAAAAGTTTTTTGCCTGGTGTTATGGAAAGGTGGGCTTTATGCTGTTTTAGAAGCGCTTGAACTGTGGTTTATTTTTTATCAGGACAAAATACTTCAAGGGTGAAAAAGTACTGTTTTTTTTTTTTGTCAAATGAACCTCATGCTAACTATCACACCAACATTGTGTTGCACCCCACATGTGCTTTTCTATTGAAACATCTGAGATTGTAATCCCATGTTGGCATGTCATGTTGTGCTTATGTATGCATATGTGTGATTGGACAACGCGGTGTAAGACTCAAAAGAAGACATGTTTGCATAAGAACAGTACCGGTTACTTGTTTTGAGCTGAATACTTGTATCATCATTGGTAACATGCTATGATTAGCATTCAACTCAAAGCACAGTTGAGTGTAAATCAGATGAAACTTGAGCTAAATCTGACTCTGGGGTGGAACATGATGAATTAAAGAGTAAAGAATGATTCACTGTAGTTATGATCAGGATTTTTCTCTTGGTGTTAACACAGCCATCGTTTGGGGACCCTCAAAATATTACACCTTAAAATTAGCATGTTAGCAAACCTGCTAGTGCATATGCTAACAGTGAAAACTAAATTTAGTGTTTGGCTTGTTTTAATGCAAACGTTCGGTATGACATGTTTATCATGCAAGTGTGCTAATATGGTATTGTTTGTTATATAACATGCTAGCAGGCTATCTAGGCACTTATATGTTAGACAGCTGTGACTTACAGGCTTTCTGAAGTGTTTGAACAAGCAGTGGAAAAGTGATCTGATGATGGCACCACATCACAAATGTTTCTACAAAAATATAATTCCATCTAATTGTTCAAATATTTGTCCCTGAAGGACAACACACCGGATTAACTGTGGCCAGATTCTGTTCAGTTTTCTTCCCTGAGAGCAGGTAGAGGAAGGTTGTGTATGTTTGTATATTGCCCAGTAACCAGCGACTCTTGTAATGCATGCACTGAACTTATCTCTTCAGTAAAGGCACTTAGAGGGGAGGTTATGCTGAACAGTGTGTATGTATGTGCGTTTGTGTATGTATGAGTTATATTTGTATGCGATCATGTGGGACATATCAGTCCCATGCAGTTAAAATGACTAATGAACAAAATAAAAATTGATTTGAGGTATAATGCTATGATTTGTGTCAAGTGTATGAGTATCTCTCACTCTCCAAACTGACTGTACAGCTGTGTTTCTTGTCCCCCCCCCCCCCCCCGTCGCCATGCAAATGTGTAAATCATGGTTGTGTCCTTTTAAAGTCATGTGTTCCTATTTAAAATGAGTTTCAATCCCTGTTGCGGCAATATATAAAGTGGCATTCCTTGAACCTTCAAGTAAAAATGATTAGTCTTGTGTGTCTGTCAAGTTTTAGGGAACAACCCAAGCAGAAAATAGACCCTCACCCTCCTTGCCTCATTTCCCATCCTGTCAGCTTCTAGCTCTAGCCTTGTCAATGTATTTAAGACATTTTAAACTATAGGATCCTTTAAAAAAACAAAAGCAGCAAAGTGGTTTTTGAACTCCAAAAACAAGCGCCCACCGCTGTGTTGCATGACAACTAGCAATGGGAAGCTGCATGTAGACTTCAGGGACTTCTTTCTCTTGCCCCCCACCCCCCCTCCCCTTCCCTCCCCCTGTTTTTCAGTCTGACAGTTGGCCTCGTGATTCTCAGCAAGGTGAGTCATCGGAGGTCTTGGTTCTGGTTGTGTTAATGTGCAAACTTAATCGGGTTGAATCTCGAGTCTTTTAGTTTCATCCATTCATTTTTGGGTAGATAAAAAGAGGCCAGCAAGGATCAGAGTTTTATCTTTTTTAAAGCATTAGGAGGTAAGTTAACCACTCTGCAGTCATAGAAGTAGCAACAGCTAAACCTAACACACACCTTTCTCCATTTCTTTCCCTCTTACTCACCCAGAGTGCCGGTGATCTGGAAGACCCCTGGTAGCTGTGGAAACAACCCCCTCCCTGTCTCCTCCTGGTGATTGGTGCGTCCACCCCAAAGGAGGAGTGTCTCTCCATTGCGCCATGTCTTTCTCCACTAAAAGAGGACATGTGGTGTGTGTTGGAGTGCGTGAGTGTGCGTATGTCGGTTGTGCGTGCGTGTGTGTGTGTGTGTATGAGTGTGTTTGCAGCAGTGGGACAAAGACGACAACAACTACACACACACACACACACACACATACCGCTTTAAACCTGGAAGAAAAAAAAAATCACTTTTCAGAAATGTCAAGATTTTATGAACTGAAGCATTGTGATGGTAGGGATGATTTTTACCATTGAGGTGTTTTTTCTTTTTCTTTTCTTGAATGTTGACATTGAACACATAACTTCACAATGACATGAGGACCTATAATGTGTGTGTGTGTGGGTGCGTGTTGCGTGTGTGAGAGAGAGTTTGTGTGTGTGTGTGTGTGTGTATGAGAGTGTTTCAAGGAGGGCCAAGAGAAGACAGATGATGGATAAAGACTTTGTATGTAACTCTTCTTCTCCTGGATTTTTTTTTTTTTTTTTTTTTCGTGCTCCTGGGTCTGATAATTGCATAACACCTTTGCTTCTCCCCTCTTAAAAAAAAAAATAAAGACACACACTCTCTCTAACACACACTTAAAACACGGAAAGAAACCCATAAACACCCTCCTTCCACCCTTCCCACTTCCACCTGTGCACGTATGTGATGTGCCCCCTTTGCAGGGCACTGCATGAGGACTTTGGTTCTACATGTACAGCTACGTGGTTTTCTAGTCGACCCCGGATGGACAGCCATTGGTTGAGACTGACGGAACCTGAAGGACCTCTGCATTCTGATTGGCTCCTGCTGTGTGAGAAGTGGAAATGATTTGGAATTTTATTCTTATTTTTTGTTATTATTAGGATTATGACGATGATAATCATGATGGGGAAACGGGAGGTTATCTAGTTCACTGAAGAGCCGAGTGCAAGTTGGACTCATGGAGGCGGGTGGTGGGTAGGGGGGGCTGTTGTATCACTGGTGGACTTCCTGCAGGAGGAGGAAGAGGGACAGGGCAGGTGGGTGGGGGTGTCAAATAGGCTCCTCCACCCCCCCACCCCCCTCGCCCCTCACCATTATGGTTGGAAGTACACATGACAGAGGACTGTCCTAACAGAGGAAAGTTTTTTTTATGTTGTCCATGAGGTTACTAGCTGCTCGCTATGTAGAGTGAGTGAACTCCCTGTTTTAACCCTGTTCCTGGTTCTCAGACTGCATTGGTAATGTTTGTATTGCTGTTGTTTGATTGCACTCACATTTGATTACAGAAAGCGTCTATATATGAAATAAAATACCTGCCAAGGATCTGGTGGTGGCTGTGTATTTTAATAACAGAGCTCATGTCGTCTCTGGAGTGTTTGTGTACTCTTTGCACAAGATCATGCTGTGTTATCTGCTACTGAAAGAGGCTTGAAACAATAAGTTTAAATATAATGACCCAATCAAATAACTCCAAATCCTAAGTCCTCAACCGTAGTTCTAACAGGGCAACAAGTAGGCTTTACCAATTAACAAAATCACTTCTGATTAATTAATAGTTCTATAAATTAGTATTATCGATGGGTAAAATTTCTGTCCAGGATTTCCACTATTTAGTTTTAAAGAAATTCAAATGTTTTATTCATAAATGTTAGGTACTGTTGTGGAGTTTAAATTCCCCCAAAATATCCAGCAATTTTCAATTTTAAAGAAATCCATGAAAGTGTTTTTTCATTTGGTTATTCTTTCTAGTGTTGAATCAAATGCTAAATTGGTTATAATGCCACATTAGGGTTGGTGGTAGAAATCATACATCGAGGGTCAAATGTTCACCTTCCTGGTTCGTCAGAGAGGGTAGGTATTATGCTGCCTTCAACTGCCCTGTGAAAATATCGTATTTACGAGTGATGATTATATGAACGTCACTGCAAAGTCGTAATTATGAGTGTTGTGAGTATGCTAACATGCCTATTGTTTTAACAATGAAGAAAATAATTAGCACCTGGTAATTATAATGTTATTTTAGCTTATAAACGAATTAAAACGTAAGCTGCACACCTGATTCACATTCTATGTTCGTCATTCTGAAGCACAAAGGAGCTCTTTTGGTAATCAAACATCAGCCACGAATAAACAACCTAACTTTTAGCGTCCGTGTTTTTTTTTTTGGTCGGGTCACTTGAATTTTGTGTTATTAAAGACTGCACTCATAGGAATTGCTGTATTTCCGAGGAGCACGTGAAAGGCAGCATCAGGCAGGTGCAGCGGAAGTCACCTCATCCCACGCCTTCAAATGGACTCGTCCATGTGACGTCAGTGGTGAAGCGGGAAATAATAAAACAAAATCCAGGTAAAGCGACCGGATTGATCTCTTCAACTGCTGAAATAAATCATGAATTATAAATTAACGGAGAAACCGGAAAAAAAGTCAAAGACAAAGAGAGAAAAACACGAGAAATGTTTATTTAAACAACCCAATCATCATTCATTACTGGCGCCATTCCTGGTTGTGATGTCAGTGCCGTACAAAAATCCTACATAAACTAAAATAAATATGAAAACATAATTGAAAGTGGTCAGTACACAACATTTTATGTCATAATATACAAATGTAGAAGGCTTCAGTGCTTTGTTTGGTCTCTGTTGTAGGATGATAACTATAATGCACGAATATCTTCCTGGATAATTAGTTTTAAATGAAAAATCACACGGGAAAGATCAAGTGTTTGCTGGTCCGTCTTCTTCCTCTCCTCTTATGATCAGCCCACAGACCTCAAGTCACCTTGATATAACTGAAAATGCTGCTTCAATGTACAGGCCTCTGCAAGGAAAGGGGGCAAGTTTAGCTCACAAGGGGATCCTGAATTCATCCTCTTGGTGACGTTAGAGAAAGTGTAATCAATGGAGTCATTCATCCTCAGGGTAACATGAGTTTCTGTACTGGAGTTCATGCTAATGTCTCTGATTTAGTCTTGACCAGTTCTGTCATCCATTGATGGATTAAATATTTAGATCACTAACATTTCAGAACAGATTGTCATGGATTTTGTTAGTCAGACAGGCCACGTGCCAAGGATGTGTGTATTAGATATTGGTAGCAATCCAGTTCTACAATTCCTAATATTAGAAGAAAAGCTTCTGAACAACAAAATGAACAGTCCTTCCTTATTTATCCCTTTTCTCAACATGCAGGCAACATTTCTTGTACATTATAAATATCAATTAAAAGTAGAATTCCTTGCAAAAACAGATGATCAATGACTTTATTTGCTGCAAACACACGCACGCACGCACACACACACACACACACACACACACACACACACACACACACACACTCACACACACACACACTCACACAGCCCCTGTCTAATCTGTCACTCTGTCATAATTTGATCATAATCCCTAATCATAATCACATCGTATCTTAAAAGGTGTTCTCAATCTGGAGTGGGATTATGGGATTGCAGCGCTCGAGTGTGAATGAGCAATCAAAATATATTACCGTGTGTGTGGGTGCATGTTTGTGTTGGGGGGGGGGCAAAAGGGGGTGAATTTAATTTGGTGATGGTGGGGTACAGAGTCGCCCTCTCACTGATTCACCCCCTGAAACCGCTTTAAGCCTCATATTATAAAACAATAGAAACTGACCTGTTAAACGTGTTTGTCCTCCCTGTCGCAGTTCGTCTTTAATCTCGGTCACTTTAATTTGTTTTTATATAAGTACATGATATAAAACAAAACAAGATTAGTCCAAGAGACACGGGTCTATTGTCTTTCTAGTTTGTCTCCAACATCAACATTTTTTCTGTCCTTTCCATTTACAGCGTTGCAGGATGTCTCAACAACTACTCCATGGATTTCTATTCAATTTGCTTCAGGTATTCAAGATCCACAAAAGATCAGTTCTTATGACTTTGGAGATCTTTTGATTGTCTCTGGAACACTACCAGCAGGTCAGAATTTGTATTTTATCTAATGAAATACCTCCATCAACCAGTGCTGGGAAAAGTCTTCTAAAGGTTGGAAGTTACAAGTTAAAGCTCTGTACTCAAAGTCTCAAAACCAGAGTCCAATTATTCAAAGCAAAATGAACAAAAAGTACAACAAGACTGAAAAAAAAAAAAAAAAGATGTGTTCCAGTACTT